TCATTTTCTACAGTAAATCAATTCTCATTTTCAACCACACATTTTTCAATAAAATAATATTTTCCATCACATCAATACTTTTTTCTTCTTTTTCAACCACACATTTCCCATCATATCACTATTCAAAAATCAATTCTTCCCCCAAAAATCCCTACCAAACACACTCTAAAAGTTGTTTTGTTATTTTTGAAATAAGATAAAGATAAAATAGGGAAATTGAATTTTTCCCTTTTTTTTTTCACAAGCCAAGCAAGCGGTTTGTTTTGAGTTCGTGGATCGACTATTTTTTTACTCGTTTTTGAGCTTGTTTTATAAATAAGATTCGGATTATGAGTTGGTGAACGTCGACGAATCACCGTCGGCTAACAAAACAACTCGTGTCAACCCAAGGAGGGTTTAGGGGTTTTTTACTCGCGCACACACTCATCAGGAAACTGTGTCCCCGAAAATCCCTTCCCCTCCTGCAATGGCAACTCTCGTCCCTCCTGCACCGTCTAAGGCAACAACTCCACTGCTCGCTTCGGAGCCGATTGTGGCCGAGCCGCAAAAAGTCGATTACTTAAACCTTAATTGCCCGATTCCATATGAAGAAATTCACCGGGAAGCTCTCAGTTAGTGCATTTGTTCATTAATTTTTAAATGCATTAGTGAATTTCTTTACTTTTGTTTATTTGCCAATGAGCGATCGGCTTCAACGATTCTTGTTACAAATTGCGTGACAGTTTTAAGGATTTTTTGTTGTTAATTAAAATTACGAGAGTCCCGTTGCTTGAAGATGGGGATCAGTGATTGATTTTGAATCTATTTGTGAAATGATTATTGGCGTAATGTTAATTGTATCAATCGTGCTGTATTGATACTATTGGCAGTGTCCTTGAAGCCAGAACTTTTTGAGGGGTTGCGGTTTGATTTTACCAAAGGACTCAACCAGAGATTTTCGCTGAGTCATAGGTACCATTGTCGTTCTTCTACCATGTTATTTGTGTGTGTAGGGGTACTTTTAGGCTGGGTTTCCTTATTGTATTCTTTTCTTAAGGAGAGGTTGTGATGGATTTGCTTGTTTATTGTTCATCAGTGTGGTCATGGGACCTACAGAAATTCCTTCTCAGTCATCTGAAACGATTAAAATTCCCACTGCCCACTACGAGTTTGGAGCAAACTTTTTGGACCCAAAGGTGTGTTGTTGTTTACTATTTGTTAGTCGCTTATACAAACAAATAACTTCATTTAAAAATGTGAGGATTGCATGTTCTTGTCAGTTGATGCTTTTCGGGAGGGTTTTGACAGATGGAAGAGTAAATGCAAGAATGAAGTGTGATTTGTCTGAGAATCTTTCTTTGAAGGGAAATGCTCAAGTAAATATACTTAAGCTGTCAATCTGTTTTGAATGTTTTCCATTCCCAATTGTGCAAGAGCTGCTACTGTGTTTCCTAGTTCACACAATAAAGTTTAATTTTCTGTTTCTTTTTTTCTCTTTCTGTAGCTTACAAGTGAGCCACATATGTCACAAGGCATGGTCAATTTTGATTATCAGGTAATTATTTTTAAATTAGCCTCCGTTTGCGAAGAATTAATAAATGGTTTAATTTATAAATAGATAGAAATGAGTGGGGGATTAGTGGGTACTACTTATGGGTTCATTGGAATGTGTGGTTGAAAATTAGGTTTAACCATTCATAGATGATTTATAAATTTTGCCGAAGGGAGGCTTAGTCATGAAGTTTTATACTATTGAGGGTATTGTAGTCATAATATAGCAAGTTTACATGTGGGTCTGTCCAGCTGGCAGCTTGCTACGTCAAATGCCACCAACATGGCGGAGAGCAAAGATAATGAAGTGGAGCTCTGGAGTAATGAACTTGGGGCTAATAGTATTTGCCTTTTGATATGTATACAGGGATCCGACTATAGGACTCAGTTTCAATTAGGGAATGGAGCCTTATTTGGTGCAAATTACATCCAGGTGAATGTTCTGATATTTTTTCACAAAATATTTCACCATCTTTAATATTAAGTAAAATTTCTTGAACTTCTCAAAAAGGCTTTATTGCATATTTATCTTTAATATGAATTAGCTTGGTAGACGACCTGCTGTAGCTTGATACATTGTGGCAGAAAAGACTGAGTGACATTAATTGTTCGCTTGAAGCTCGTAATAGTATTATATTGGGATAATGTTTCTTGCTTTTTTTTTCTCTTATATATTTTTGGGTGAATAACTTATATTCTAATTCTTGCCTTAATAATCTCGATTACACTTCTTTCCAAAATTCTTGATGGATAATTTAAATGATAGTTGTATTTGCCTCAATCATCTAAAAGAGACTTTATTTCCAATTTCTTATAGATGCCCAACCACTTTAGTCTCATTTTTCTTAATTTATCCTCAAATGTATAAATTCTCATGTCTTGTCTTATTGATTCTAATATGGCTACACGATCTTAGAATTATTTTTGCTATGTTCATTGTATGGACTTTTTTATCCTGGAATAACCGAACTCTTAATGCCATAAAGCTTAGTTGGTCGTAACCATTATGTGGAACTTTCCCCTTTATCCTAATATAGGTATCTTTGTGGAATTATGAGAGAGAATATTTAATTCTTAATTATAATCCTAAGAACTTCACAAATATATACATAGGGAGTAAAAAAATATACAAGATTGGGAAAGTAAATTGTAAATAACTAATTTACCCTAAAAACTAGGGATTAACATCATAAAAATTTAATCGAATCAAATCAAATAAGATTAAATATAATGAGATTGATTATGCTGTGAGTAAAAATTAAAAAATAAAAATTGATTATGCTCTGATTACTTTGCTGTCTTGCTAAATATTTGGTGAAATCTTTGACAAACTGCTGAGAAAATAATTGTTTCTCTAGAGTTCTCTGATAGGCCCCAGAAGCACAGGAATAGTTCCATTTAGTTAGTTAAAGTAGGGGAAGGGAATTTAGTAGAAAGAATTGTATAGGTTCCTCACTATAAATAGGGAGGATAGTTTGATTTCATTTAGGCAGAATTTGAGCGTTGTCTTGGTAGAGAAGTAGAGCCTCTTGAAGCTCTGCTAATTATCGCATTTCCTTTCATTCAGTTTGTGATTCCGTACAACAATTCATAAATTGTTCTGGTACTTATCAAGTCTGATACCAAATGGTACGATCCAGAGCAATTTCCATGCTTCTGTTGTAATTTACTACTGAACATTGAGATGAAATTGTATTTGTGTTGTTTCTGTGAAGTATTGGATTGAAGAACAGAAAGGAAATGTAGAGTGGACTTGATGAATTTTATGAAAATAAAGTATAGATTTGATAGGATTCGAGAGGCCTATCTCTCTCCCAATTGACACCCAAATTCTGCCAAAATGAAATCAAACTAGCCTC